TGGCGAAATGATAATGAAAAGACAAGTTTATTTTGCTCTAAAAGAACATTTTGAAATCTATACATTTTTTTTTTCATGAACTTTTCAAAGGCCCCTTTTATATAGATGGATTCGTCTGTGGCTGATGTGAACTGGTTCAGCCTGGTCCGGCCCTGACCTGTGCCAAATGTATGGCAGTGGGTACCTTTCCCTGGCCTGGTCGGGGCTGTTCCTTATCGTGCTTCTTGCACTTACCTGCAGGAACTGTGTTGTGTCCCACAAGAGGAGTCAAAAAGCGTAATGGTTCTTGACAAAAGCCATTGAGAGGCAATTGTGATTAGGACGGAAAGATATGTTTCAACTCTCATATATAAAACAAATAGACCAAATAAAACTATTAGCCATGGATCTTCCCATGATGACATGACATGAACGTATTTTTCTGCCTGAAATTTTATCTAGTTCCTGACTTTAAGATAGTTCAATACTGCTGCACAGAAATTTCACTGTTTCTTTTGCATATCAATTTTGTTTCCTGTATCTATACTGAATTCATTTATTAATAAAATATTTTTGGTGGAGCTTTAGAATTTTCTGTATGTATGTATCATGTCATCCGCAGACAAGTTTAAATTCTTCTGTCAATCGGATGCTGTTGTGCGTGTTCATCGCTCTGGTTAGGGTGCTTTGAACGACGCGGAACAGTGATGAGAATGGACACGTCCTTGTGCTGATCTTACAAGGAACACTGTGGACTTGTCACATTTAGCAGTATACAGTTGAGCGTGCCACTGCCTGTGAGGCAGGCTTCACACTGCCCCTGAGGAAGAGCAGCCTCCACAGATTCTGACTTCAAGCTCACTGCAGCACCTGGTCTGCTTCCGCAGTCACCAGGCTGGCACCTAGGAAGGCACTCTGCAGGCTAATGCTGGAGAGTCCGTAATCTATCATATCTAGGATCCAGGTTATTCCATCAGACCCAGGGATGTGCCTGCCTCTGTTGATGTAACCTCCAAGGCTGCCCTGTTTGCAAGCTATCCACAGGCCCCAGGCATGCCTCTACACGGGCACTGAGCTGATCACAGCACCTAGATGGCCCCTGCAGACTCTGGTCCAAGGTCCAATCCTACACAAGATTGGTCTCTGTGGCCCCAGCGGCCAGGCCAACTCGTGTTACTAGAGTCCATCGGTCAGCTCCTGTACAAACTATGACAGTTTACTTTCCAAGAGCGTCTGCATGAGTCAACTGCTGAACGGCTTCATCAGCTGAAGACAGTCTGTAAAGGCCAGAGTAAGTCCCTGCTGCCTGAGGCATGCGCACACTAACACTTGGCCACGAGGATGGAGAAAAAATACAAAAAGATACATAATGCCCTAAAAGAAATAAAATACCACTAACAGATTCCTACAGAAACGTTTAAGTTTTAATTTAAGAAGTTTATGAAAAGCTTGATGAAGAATTCAAAATAATTATTTTAAGGAAGTTCAGTGGCCTTCAACAAGACATAGAAACAATTCAGTAAAACCAGAAAACCCGTCATACACAAACAACCCTGGAAGATTGAAACTACAATAACAACAACAAAAAATCATATTTAGGAGCTGAAGGATGAAGTGAATGGAAGGAAAAGCGCAAGGGAACTTCAACAGCAGAATGGATCAAGCAGAAGGAAAAATACCTGTAAATCCAAACACAGGTTAGGAAATATGCAGAGAGGAAGAAGATAGAAACCAGAATTTAAAGGTCAGTTTCAAAAGAAAGCTAAATGTACAGAATTTGGATGAGGACAAAAAACTATTGTTAAGGAGTGATAGCAGTAAACATGGCAGTCATGGGGAAAGAGAAGTGTCCAGGGAAGGAACTTCAAGGGTTTCCAATCAGACTGAATCCACACAATTAGATCGGACATCAAAGAAAACATTCAGAAAACAGCAATAGGGCCCAGTGCGATAGCCTAGCGGCTGAAGTCCTCACCTTGAACACACTGGGATCCCTGTGGGCACTGGTTCTAACCCCGGCTGCCCCGCCTCCCATCCAGCTCCCTGCTTGTGGCCTGGGAAAGCAGTCGAGGACGGCCCAAAGCTTTGGGACCCTGCACCCGCGTGGGAGACCTGGAGGAGATTCCTGGATCCTGGCTTCGGATCGGCACAGCACCAGCTGTTGCGGTCACTTGGGGAGTGAATCATTGGACGGAAGATCTTCCTCTTTGTTTCTCCTCATTTCTGTATATCTGACTTTTTAATAATAAAAATAATCTTTAAAAAAAGACCCACATCTTCAAGGGTTGAGGGGTAGCAGAAAAAGAGCTTCCTCTCTGAAATTTGCTGTCACCGAGTTTTGCTTTTCCTTATGTGGCAAACGGTCCGTACTCTTACTATGTATGTTTCGCATGTTCTGTAGCAACTCCTGCTCATCTTTTCCTGAGTTTCTACAGGTATTAAAGATACTGGAAGATACTGAAGTGTGCCTTGCAGCCGCACAACATTGAGATGAAAAAAAAATGGTCAAAATGATTTTTAGACAATTTTTAAAAGCTCTCATAATACATGTTTTAATTTACATTATTCCCTATGTATGGAGAGGGTCAGCCAGTCTACATGCTAATCATCCTAAGAAATTAATGTCCTTTTTCCAAAATGACTGTACACTTCAACTCCCTGCCAAGATGACGTAACCTTCGATTTTAACCTCTTGCCTGAAATATCTAGAGAAGTTTTCAAAACAGCAGCTATCAGATGACAAGGGACAGTGACCCCTGAGAAACAGAAAGCCAACAGTATGAGATTGCAGACTGTTCTAGCTTATTGCCTTGAGAAATTTCCAGGCCATGAAGCAGAAGGGAAAAAGCAACTCCCTAAGCTAAGGAGACAGAATTGAGGATTTGAAAACAGAACTGGAAGATCAAGGCAATTGGTATTCACATCACAGAATACCAGATGAGAACTCTACAGAGATCTACAGAAAGGTCACCTCTAGGTCGCAGTGGGGGAATTAACCATCAGAAAGTGAAGATGTCAACAGAAAAGAATCAGTAAGAAGGATTAGAAGTAAGAATGGCCAGTGTTTACATTGGATGAACTGGGCTAGGCTACAACACATGCTAGCACACAAAAAAAAACAGGGCTGGCGCATGCCTGCTCATCACTGCAAGTCACCCCAACTAGGCCACGGCACCCAACATTTTGTGTGAGGTGATGGGGCTAGGAACTGAACTGACAAGGCAGCTGCGTCCACCAGTATGCATTGGCTGGTGCAGGTGATGGGCCAAACCTGACCCTGCACTGGCTGGCACACACAAGAACTAAGTGTGAGGTCATCCCAGGCAGTTTCTTGAGAGAATCCCCAGCTAGATGGCTAGACTCAAACCCTGTCCTAGGGATGATCACATTATGTGTGGACCAATCTTGGTGTGCATGTGTCGGGACTGGGCCTCCTCAATTCCTGATGCCTGTCCAGTGGATAGCCCCTGCCCAGATGTACATGGGAGACATGATGGCCAGCAGAGGAAATCGGGTTCCTTGTCAGAGGATGGAAAGCAGAGCAGGTTGGAGCCACTGTCCTGGCCAGGCTCCGTGATCCCTGTGTGCTGGTACGGTGTGACACAAGGACTGGTTACCTCCCCTTCCCCAGACCTCAGCCCCACTCAGAGAAAACAATTTGAAACATATGTCCCACCCCCTTCCTCAATACTTGCACTTTCCCCACCCTTATCCGAGACTCACATGGGCATACATTCCTCTCAATTACCTATATAATATATATATAATAGATTATATATATACATATATATAAACACAATATATACACATATATATATACACAAATTAAAGGGCTCAGCACGGTAGCCTAGTAGCTAAAGTCCTCGCCTTGCACACACCAGAATACCATACAGGCACTGGTTCTGATCCCCACAGTCCTGCTTCCCATCCGGCTCCTTGCTTTGTGGCCTGGGAAAGCAGTGGAGGACCGCCCAAAACCTTGTGACTCTGCACCTCCTGGCAAACCTGGAACAGGCTCCTGGCTCCCGGCTTTGGGGATGGGCTCAGCTTAGCTCTGGCCATTGGGCCACTTGGGGAGTGAACCAGAGATGGAAGATCTTTCTGTCTCTCCATGTCTGTAAATTTGACTTCCCAATGGAAATTAAGAAAAAAAAAAAAAAAAGAGGCAGCTGATAAACATTTTCAGACAGCATATTAGGAAAATAGAGTAATTAAACAGGTCTGGTGTTCTGGGAAACGATGAGGCGTGAGGTGAAACAGGACTCAGGAGGAGCAATTAATACAATAATAAATAATATGTAGGCCCAGGGGCTCAGTGTTCCACCCAGGGATGGAGGTCCAAAGTTAAGAAGCACAAGAGAGAAATGGAAATAAGACTTCTGTGGCTGAAGAAGCATCACAGCTGCACAAACATGTGGAAATTAGACATACATGAAAAAAACAAGTGGTTTTCCTTCGCAGTAACCTGGGTGAGGACCGGAAGCACGTATGCAGCTAGAGCCAACTGGAGAATTCACATTTTGATTTGGACCAAAACCACTGCTTCCTATTTAAAGAAAGTCTTGTAGACTGTTTAGCTCATAGTGGACATCATGAAGCTGATATACAGTCTTGCCCTACATTGCTCCATGGTTAAAATGAACTCCAGGATTTTCACCCATTTTTATGGAAAATATACCACACACACACTCACTCTCTCTCTCTCTCGCTCTCACATTCACTGATCCCCAAATAAAATAAATTAAAGACACTATTTTCATTGGTCAAAAATAAAAGACACAGGGCACCTAAAAAGTTGTTCAAAAGCCAAGACACATTTAAAAAAAACCCTAATAAACTTTTAATTATAATTTTTTTCTTTTTTTTTTAACAGGACAAGTAACAGATTACAGCAAAGTTCAGACCTTTTCAAATATCTAGTTGTTATATACATTCCCATCCATCTTTCAGGGAGGAATCTTGGTTGGCTTACCAGGTACAGGTAAAATAAGCTGCATAATAGCATATATTACAATAATAAATGTACAATGTTTACATGAAATATGTTTTAGAAGCAAGAAAACAATGCATCTGCATCAAAAAGTGACCTTTTAAAAATGCCACAATTACATTTTACATTCACTCTTGCAACAGATTACAAGATGGGGTCACTAAGTTCAGATAAATCACTATGATGCACGTAAAATACAGAAAGATTGGCTACTTTATATATTATATATATTTATATTTCACACATTAGCATCTGAGACATACACTGAGAATTTAAAATTTATTCTCTTCAGATAACAAATGTTTTATTCTTCATAAACATGGTGCCCACAAAAGCACACAGGTAAGGCACAATAGGGTTTTCTGTTACAGAATAGTGTGCATCATGTTTACTTAACCAGAAAACGTGCATTATCTGTGCAAGTTCATGCTGCAAACTCAACACATATATGACAGAACAAAAAGGAAACTGAGCTTTAAATAAAATCAAAGTTGGTACAATTCCAGCTGTTTTGCATACTCAAATGGACTGACGATGACATACCAACAGGTTGTTTATATTTTTTTAAAGGCCAATGGTTAGATTACAAGTAAATTTTATTTAGCAACTATTCTAATCTGAAATCATAAACAGTAATAAAGGAATTTTACAGAAACTAAATTAAAACAATGAGGCACAAAGGTCATTCGTGCATTAACCATTTTGCAAACTTCCTTGACCCAAAATTCCAACTATAATTTGCCTAACACAATCTGCTGCAACAATGTGCCATGTTTTCAACTTGACATAAACCAAAGAGCTAATATTTCATTAAATTATAAATACACTGGGAAAATGATTTAATCCCGACAGTACTATGCCACAGCCCTAGTATATATAATAAATAGTTTTTCCACAAAATATTTTTCCAACATCTGCCAATTGCTTCTTTATTGCTCACATAAATTTGAATCAATTACAACTGGTTTCAGAACTATCACACAAAATCATACTCAGAGATATTTGCATATAAAACCTATAAAAGATATTTTAAACTTGTTTCTAATACTTGCAGGTGTTTGGCTGCTTTATCTATATAGTAGTACAGCCACATGTATGTATGCGTGTGTAAACACACACACACAATATACACATACATATATACATACATTAGATTATGAATAAAATAGAGCTTATTTTACTGCTTTAATGCAGACATCCTCAAAAAACAAGACTATTTTTGCTTCCACCAGCATTTACACATATATACAAAAGCCAGTCTAATACATGTACATCCACTTACACATATATGTAACCATTAACCCAAATTAATTTTTCCATATTCCAACTGCAGCAAATGAGTCTCTTACAAGCAACAGAAACCTAAGGTTAAACTGAGAAATTAGCGGTTTTACAACATTAGGCTGTAAAGGACTATGCAGGTGACTGTATACAAAAATTCACAACATTACTTCACTAGAAATTACAGAAATACAAATAGCTTCTTCTCCATGCTTTTGCGTGGTTATCCAAATACTTCAGGTGCAAAAATATAACCACCATACATCTGAATTGCTGAATAAAATCAATGCTCCTCATGCAAAACTTTTAAATGCACTGGCTTAACTGAGCTCCAAAAACCGAATAAAACAATTATTCTTCCTACTCAGTATTGCTGCCTCACTGCTAAGTCCCTTTGAAGCCTCAAGAATTCTGGAACATTCCAACAGAGCTGTGTTCATTCATCAATAAAATTTTTACATACAAAAAAGCATTTAAAAAGGGCGATGGGAAGTGAAACAGGGTTCTTATTGTAAATAACAGTCTTTTCAGGAACCTCCTTGAGAACTAGCTAGGCCACTGCGAAGACGAAGATGAGACATAGAGTTCATATGTTTATTTGATGGCTTCAAGGGAGTGTTGCAAGTAAGAGCTTGGGGAAAGCGGTGGTGGTATCTATCTAGTCGCAAATATTTTACTGTAACCAACTTCCCTGTTGGAAGACAAAAATAATATTTTAGATCAGTAAAATTGTACCCAAACTGTAGTCAAATATGAATCAACACAAAACACTAAAATAGGTAAAACTAGTTGAAAAATGCTAGCCTAAAATGTTTTAACCTAAAATCTGGCATAGTTTAACATTACACCAAAATTATCTTTAAAAAAAAAAAAAAAAAAAGGTAACATTCTTACCATCAAACCAAGAGCCGTGTAACGCTTTAAAAGCCTTCCCAGCATATTCTGGAGACAGACATTTAACGTATACACAACCCTGTGATCCAAATGGAAAAAAGAAAGAGAAGATCTTAGTTTTATAACAACACATTCCAAATGTGGACTTCACTTACTTAAAGTTACTTTACCTCACGGGAATTTTTGTCAACTGCAATGTGAACAATGCCATCATTATCACTGCATTTTTCTAAAATTGCTTCTTGAATTGCCAGATGCCACTGATCCCCTATTTCCCTAAAAATTGATAAAAACAAAAATTAACCACAATTTTACTCAGTTAAAAAATTTTGTCTTACATATTCTCTATTAGAATAGCTTAATAACTATGTATTGTTAGATTAGCATAAATAAGAATTTTAATTATCTGCAAATTCATTAAAGTCACAAAAGTTGTCAGAATTATTTTCTTTGTAACATTTTCAAGTTACTAACTTTAAAAGCATGGGTTTTTATCCTAGGGTAACAGAATATTGGTTTGGCACCGGTTCCGTAAATCTGAAGGCTCACAACAGAGCACTACCACAGCACGAATCACTTTAGCTCTGTCAGACAGAGGCTGCGTGTGCGCGCGTGCCCTAGCAGTTATTCCCCACATTTCAAATTTTGTTGTCTCTGATTTGTGATCTCATATGAACAGTTTGGAAGGAACTTAGCAACATTTTATATGTAATGAAATTTCCATACCCAGGCTTTAAAAAAAAAAAACCAGGATCTGATTTGTAATATTGGACAAATAAGCATTAGCCCCTAGGAAGCTAATTTTTAAAATTATTATAAATTCTAAGATTCTAACTTATGTTGCTGTACTTACACAGCCAAAGAAGTTTCTCAAATGTTACACTTACAAGAAGAGAAAAAGATGTGCACATCTTCAGGGAGTTTTTCAATTAGACTGAAAGCTTTTAAAAAGCAGGCATTTGCGGGCAGGACGGCAGGCATTTGGCATTGTAGCTGGGCTCCTGCATCCCATGTCAGAGCGCCTTGCTCAGCTCCAATTTCTCGCCCCCTGAGCCAGGTTTCCAGCAGACGGTGGGGCCGGTGCTCCCTGCCACCCACACAGGAGGCGTACAATGTGCTTTGTGCACCCTGCTTTAGCCTACCCTAGTCCTGGCTGTCCCAACAAGAGGATGCAAGATCTCTATTTCTGCCTATTTGCTTTCAAATAAATTGAAACATTAATTTTAAAGTCTCCTTAACTAGACATTTTTAACTGTACTGTCTACTGAGGCAAAAAGGTCAGTCATGTTTAATAAGAAACATATTTTTAAAAGCATACTGGTTGCCTCTGTATTATTATTAAGGAATTTCAAACATTTACCTTTTTTTTCCTTTTTTTGTTTAAATTTACCTGCCTTTAAGAGTAACACTGAATACAAAGACCTATGTAAGCTTTATAAACGTGTATGCATCCATCTTTTTGTTTGGAATTTAATGATAGAGACAAGAAAAACATAACATTTCATTTCTGTAGTTAGAAGTTAATAAGATTTTCAGTTATAAGCACAGCACTATAAGAATATCATGCATTTTTGAGGCAAATATTCAAAATAAAAAATCATACATAGCCCTAATCATAATACTTACATAACTGGATCAAACATATTTCGAATCTTTAAACACGGTGTCAAACTATTTGGTGGTGAATTTCTTCTATCTAAATGAAATGCTACAAAGAACAAATTAGTTTTATTATTTGTCATTGTCTCATTTTGTTGAAAGCTATTCATTCGTTAAAAAAAATTCATTGCTTGCTTTAACTATGAGCCATATCCCAATGTTAACTGTTAGGATGAACATAAAAGTCACTGCTGTTACGGAGATCCAATAGCGGGGCAGACAGGTGAGCAGTCCGCTGAGGAAATCATAACTGGGAAATCCTAAGAAGAGTGCAGAATACTTTAACCTCCTTTTGATGAGACAGTGAAATTCATGATGGAAACAGAATAACAGAATTAGCAGGGTAAAAAAGAGCAGTAACTTTGGTCAAGCTGAGGTGACAGTTTCTATACAGTCCCTGAGGCAAAAAGGAACTTGATATATACAGTTAATGAACATCAGCCAGTGTGACTGCAGTAGAGAGAATAGAAAGACTTGGAGAGGGAGGCGTTAGTCTATGCAGGACCATGTCAGCCACATTATTTTAATAGAAAGCCACTGAAGTGTCCCTAGGAGCAAAATAGTATGATGAAATTTGGCTTTTAAAATTTTAATTAAAAAAATACTGTTAACATGGAGAATCAATTAGGTAAAAGCAAAAGTGAATGCATCTGAGAGCAGCAGGAATAGAATCAATAGCAGAGATGCTTAACAGGAAGATGATGGTGATATGGATAAGACAGGACAACAGCTCCGATGGAAAAGTAGAGAAGATCAGTATATGCTACAGAGAAGATCTAACAGCACCCAGCCAGACTGGACAAAGAGGAGTAAGAGGAAGATGAAGGATGACTCCCAGGTTTAAGGCAGGACTGAGGATGGGTGTTTTGCACTGGGAAGAGAAAAAACCGAGTTTGTGTGCATGATGCATGTGTGGCACCCATCTCCTGAAAAAGGCAAGTATACAGGCTAGATACAGAAATCTGAAGAGCAGAACAAAAGGCCCAGAGTACAAATCTGGGAGTATCTAACTTATCTCTTTGAAGATAATCATATCTACATGAAGTCACAGCATAAAACAGGACAATGGAACTACAGACTCTACAAATAAACAAAGCAGAAAAGAGGAAAGTTTAGCAGGAGAAAAATCAGAAAATGGTATTCCCAAAGCCTAAGGAGGAGCGTTTCACGGAGGGTTGGACTGTCAAACACTATCAAAGGGCCAAGTATTCTAAAAAAAAGTCTTAGTTTTCAGTTACATAGGTTGCTCTACATGCACTTTAAAATGGAAAAAGTTTATTGTTAGAGTAATTTATCGTAACAGCAAAGTCCATCATTTTTGTCATGACTGAAGAAGGCTTAGTCAAGCCTTCTCAGAGTGAAAATAAGAGTGACTGGATTCTTAACTGCAGTTTCAAACATTTTACTTATGCTTTCCTCTAATACTAAGTCTAAAACACAATTTCATGGTACAAAAAAAAAAAAAAAAGGAATTTACTATTCACAGTTTTCTGATCTACTGTTTCTGCTTTCCTGCTTAAAAGAAGTTTGGGTACATAAGGTGCTTGGTCCTCAAAGCTCCCCATAGCATACATGCATGCATGCTTTTAAAACTTTGTAAGTATTCAGAAAAACTTGGAAAGATCTCCACTAATGTTATGGGGAGGAATAAAGGAAAAGCATTACACAGGAATAGGGAAACGGGAAGAGCTATTAAGTTATAATCACACTTTAAAATGTAATATACATCATGAAGACTTAGGTCATATTTCGTTGTAGCATACATTAGTTTTATTTGCAAAGAGAGAAGATGAAAAAAATACAATTAAATGTGCATTACTAAGCTGCTCTAAGTGAAAAAGGAGATCACACTTCTGAATACATTATCAGGAAGTACAGAAGTGTGGAGGGAAGAAGGAAGCCACCACGGATTCCTTTTATGAATGGAACTGCAAAGGGAGCTGTGCCTTCCTACATGTTTGAACTGCACGGCCTCACTTAAATACCCATGCATTTTGTCATTTTAAAAAATTGAAAGAAACATTACTTTTTCTTTTGTTTGTTTGTACCTACCTTGACCTTGCCATACTTTAGAGGGAATTACTAATATTTTCTCACAGGATGCAGAAGGCTGAATCCACCGCCAAACCAGATAATCCGCACCGCCTATCCTCCGCGTTTCGGTTCGAACTCGAGACTCGTTAGCAGCAAGGAAGTCAACAGCTCTGTCCCAGACTTTCTTCATTTTTTTCCTATGACAAGAACAAAATGACAAATTTGCCAGCATCTTGTCACCTTTCTGAAATGGTAGTAACTGAAGTAACGCTCATTTTTAACTCTGGCTGTTCTTGCCAATACTAACGGGGTTTGTTCATAACAGAGTTAGGGGCGTGCTCGCCACCTCTCATTTAGTTCAGTTTCAAACTCCAAAGGTAAAACGTGAACATTATTTTTTTCCCCAAATCAACTGCTAATAAATGCTAGGGATGTATAAGAATGGTAATTTATAATATGGCATCTTTCACCATTAAATTTTTTAAATTCTTTTTTTTTTAAGATTTATTTTATTATTTTTTCATTGGAAAGGCAGATATACAGAGAGGAGAGACAGAGAGAAAGATCTTCTGTCCGATGATTCACTCCCCAAGTGAGCGCAACGGGCCGATACTATGCCGATCCGAAGCCAGGAGCCTCTTCTGGGTCTCCCACGCGGGTGCAGGTTCCCAAAGCTTTGGGCCGTCCTCGACTGCTTCCGGGGCCACAGGCAGGGAGCTGGAAGGGAAGCGGGGCTTGCCGGGATTAGAACCGGCGCCCATATGGGATCCCGGGCGTGCAAGGCGAGGACCTTAACCACTTGCGCCACCGCGCCGGGCCCAAATTTTTAAAATTCTTATCGTAAAAACTACGTTAAATATTTTAAAACATCAGTGAAACACTGTTTCTTTATCAGGACAAAATTAAACGACATAAGATGGAAGCTTACAACAATTGGAGAGGCCAGCACTGTGGCACAGCTAGCTAAACTTCTGACTGGGCTACTGGCATCCCACACAGTGCTGGCTTGAGATCCAGTTATTCCACTTCCAATTCAGATCCCTGCTTAGCGCCAGGGTAAGCAGCCGAGGACTGCTCAAGTCCTTGGGCCTCTGCACCTACGTGAGAGACCTAGAAGAAGCTTCTGGCTCCTGGCTTCAGACAGGCTCAGCTCTGGCTGCTGCAGCCATGTGAGGAGTGACCCAGTGGAGGGAAAACCTCTCTGTTCTCCTCTGCCTTTTAAATAAAAACAAATCTTTAAAGGAAAGAAATATAGAAATAAGAATGATTTAGAAATTTAGTTGTCTATTATGCCACTCAAGGAGAACGGAATTTTGAAAGAGCATAAAGTAAAAATCAAAACAAATCTATTCAATAGAACACGTTTACCTGAGAAGAGTCATCATTCTAAAAAAACTTTCTGCATTTTTTTTGATTTTCTGAAGGAGACTCCTACATTCTGTTCTATTTCAACACACCTGTCATGAGGTTGTATTAAAGAATCTTGAACGTGTGGAATAGGCATGTAAGGTTGTAAATCTTTATTTTCCTGGCAAGCTTCATTATGACTTCGTAGAACATCTGAAAACAAATCAAACAATCTGAATCAATCACTCACGCAGTCGTCGTTCCAGGAAGAGTTCAGATTTGTACAGAAACCTTACCTATAATCTTGACCACCATATCATACATCTGCCTTGCTTCCTCCTCTTCTTTTGTCCAGCGATATTTCATGTAACGCAGAACAACACAAACCATTGCTACACCTGCAACATCCATATTTTTCATGTTTTAAAAATTGTGCTGAATGGCATTCAAGAAGACTGCAGGCAGTTTTTACAATGATCATTTTAACTGCCATAATGGAGTACTGAAATAAGCCTTCTAAACCCAGCTAAGCTACATTTAACAATTTCACCTTAACCATTTTTCCAGTTTTATTTCTCTCTGGAAAAAAAAAAATCTTCCCATCTTGTTAACAATGAAACCTGTAAATTCTAAACTAATTTGTTTCAAACAAATCTGACTATATCTGACAAACTTCTTCCTTTGCAGCAATAAGCCCGAAGCAGGGCTGACTTTGTGGTGTGTCAGGTTAGGAGCCTGCAGTCACCTGAGCTTCCACACCATGGGCAGCAGATGACACTCCCACCACACAGGCCATCCACTTGGGAGATCCGGATGGAATTCCTGGCTCCTGACTTCATCCTGACACAGCCCCAGCTGATGGTGAACCAGCAGGTCAAAGCACTCTGCTTTCTTCCTTTCTTTCTCTCCTCTTCCCCCCCTTCCTTCTTTCAATCTGCTTTTCAAATAAATTAAAAACATAAGTATTAAAAAGAACTAAATATACTAAACCTTTAGGTAAGCTAAATTATTTTTAGATTGCTGGAAAAGAAAAAGACTATCTCCTAAATTCCTATTATTAATCAAAAACTCATGAAACCCAGCAGCCTCAACAAAAATTTTGATTCAGGTAAATAATATTTTTATTATAGTGAGCTTAATTTTTAACATGTGTTTCCTTGTTAAGATTCTTTTCTTTATTTCAAAGGCAGAGTTATGGAGAGAGAAGGAAAGATAGAGAGGGCTCTTCAATCCACCGGTTCCCTTTCCAATGGCTGCAGCCGCTGAGGCTGGGCCAGTTTAAGCCAAGAACCTGGAACTCTTTTCAGGGGTCTCCCACAAGGTGGCAGGGGTCTAAGTAGTTGGACCACCTCCGCTTTTCCAGTCACCTCACCAGGGAGCTGGATCAGGAGCAAACGGGGCTCAGACTAGCATCTGTGAAGGATGCTCAGTGGACAGGTTAACCTGCACCATGATGCTTGCCCTCTGCTTTATTATTATTAAAATAAGCTAATTTAAAAAATATTTTCCAGTATTACTTACTAAAGTAGCTTTGATGTATACACTACCCACGTTCCCTTGGTCTACGACAGTCTCATAACAAAGTTTTACTAACAGCTCCTCCTTACATTTCTGTCTTCTAATTCCTTACACTGGCTATCATTTTTAAAAATTCAATTTTATTATAATTACTGAAGACCTAGGCATGATTTATATGTCAGTCATCTCAGAAGTGAATTCTCAACTTCAGCATTTAATGAAATACAAACATAAAAATTAGAGGTTGAAATGCACCTCCTTTCTTTTTCTAACAACTTACCAAAGCATAACAACAATAATCTGTGAGTGACAGTAATAAAAGCACGTCGAAAACGACACCAGAATGACATCTGTGGTCTTGTGGACTGTAAAAACTGCACATCAGTTATATTTGTCAATTCTTCCTTGGGGCCATAACCAACACACCTGTTTAAAAATAATTAAGCTTTAGTTTAAATTAAAAATCACTTCCTACAATTCTAAATTTTCACAGGAAACCCTTTACCTTATTCCAACATCTTTCCCATTTTCTAAAATCCACTGCAATGAAGTATTAAATATATCTTCATATTCAGGACCTAAATCCTAAGAAAAACAGAAAACGCTTTAGTATTCTTAAGAAATCATATATACATTTAGGTCTTTATGCAAGCTGTCCTGTAAACCTCACACTCTATGGAACATTTTTATTTAAATGATTTAACAAACTAGAAAGAAAGTATTGATTCAGTACACACAAATAACACAAAAGAGGAAAACAAAAGCTACCATTATTCCATTAGTTCACTATAACCACTGCAATATTCTGCCTTATCTTTCGTCTTGCTTTAGTTGTTTCACAGATTTGAAAGGCTTCTCTTAACAACCTTGTTTTTAAGTATCTGTCACTTTGATAACATGAATAAAGCACTATTTTCAGATGAAAAATTGACAAATTAATCCGACCTGGATGTTTCATGGGCTTTTTCACAAAAAGTAAATATATTAAATCTATCAACTTAAAAACTCTAGTATTACTAATAATAAAATTTAAGCTTTCAACCATGAGTGAAAATATATTTTTCAAATCAGAGCATATTACGCATGTTATACTAACTGCTTTTTTCATTGTTTTTGTCAACCTCTGTATACACCAAAAAACCCGACATATTTTCCAGCAAACCAGTATGTCATTGTCTGGTTAACTCTACTATAACAAATTCTGTATTACTGAACACTGAGCACATTCAATTTCTTCATAATCAAATAACACTCTTCAAGACACCCTTAAATTTTTTTTTTTATTCAGCAAATATTTTAATAGTCCACTATGTACTAAATACTGTTCTAGGAAATTTTTCTAGGCTCGCAGAGCTTAGAGATTACTGGAAAGTGTATCTTTACAAAAGTCAATTTATAAAATCTTATAAAAAAGAATTTTCTAACAGGTATCTTTGGTATTTTATCAACAGATTCTTCAGGAGCATTGCAAATTACAAAGTTTTCATTTTATTAGATTAATTTACTTCTTTTTTTGATTCATTTTTTATTTTATTGGAAAGTCAGATATACAGAGAAGAAGAGAGACAGAGATGAAGATCTTCTGCCCTGGTGATTCACTCCCCAAGCGGCTGCAATGGTTGGAGCTGAGCCAATCCAAATCCAGAAGTCCAGAGACTCTTCCAGGTCTCCCATGCAGATGCAGGGTCCCAAGGCTTTGGGCCGTCCTTGACAACCTTCCCAGGCCACAAGCAGGGAGCTGGATGGGAAGTGGTGCAGCTGGGGCATGAATTGGCACCCACCATTTGGGATCCTGGTGCTTGAAAGGTGAGGATTTAGCCTTTGAGTTATCATATCAAGGCCAGACTTCCTTATTTTTATTGTAAAGGCAGATCATATTTGGGAAGGGAGACACAGAGAGAGGTCTTCCATTTGCTGGTTTTCCCCCCAAATGGCCACAATGGCCAGAGTTGAACCAATCTGAAGCCAGAAGCCAAGAGCCTCCTCTGAGTCTCCCACATGGGTTGTAAGTGCCCAAGGACTTGAGCCACTTCCGGCTAACTGCCCAGTCTATAAGCAGGAGCTGGAGAGGAAATAGAGAAGCTGGGACCAGAGTCAGCACTCACATGGCATGTTGGCACTTCAAGACACAGATTGGCCTATTAAGCTACCATGTAGTTTCCTCAGAGACTAGATTATGGACAAGTTTCAGACAATGGAGGAAAAAAATCCCCAAGTGTATTTGTTAAAACTTTAAGTACAAAAATTTTAGGAAACTGAAAATATTCAAACCTAGTATTAATATTCTCATTCATTAACCTTTAAAATGTATATAATGGCACAAATCAACAAGGATGCTTACTATTCTAATAAACTAGGTATGGAAAGGAACAAAGAGCCTAGAAGTTAAAATTTAAAGATGTTAATGGTAAGAAAAGAGTATTTGTTATTTCCCATTTCTGTTTTTTTTTAAACCCAGGTTAACATCATTTGACAGCCATTCACTGGAAAGAAAATCCTCAAATAACTGAAAGATCATTTAAAATCTGTTAAAGATTTCATCTTTAGTATGATAACTGACCGCAAGACACGAGGAGGAATATGTCACGTGCTGGCTCTGCCCTAAATGTATGCAGTGGCAGCTAGGGCTCAGTGGAGCTAAAGTTGGAGCCCGAGACTATCCGCCTCTTCCTTACAGGTGCAGGAATCCAACTCATCCAGCCATCAAGGACTGCTTCCCAGGCGCACCATCAGCAGGAAAGTGGAGCTGGGGCAGAGCTGGGGCTTCAACCCAGTTTCAGATCACGAGCTGAATACATTCCAGGATCTAAAACAGCATCTTAACTGCTAGCCCAAACACTCATCCTTGAAATTTTTGTAGAAGTAAAAACTGAATGTTTTTATGTTCACTAAATATTTCACGCTACAATTACATATCAGTCACCTAGAAAGCTAACTATAAAGCAAAGGTATGCCTCCCCCCTCCTTTTTAAGTATAAAGGGCCAGAGGGTAAATATTCTAGTCCCAGATGCTTCACTTTAGATTCAGCTCCCTGCTAACAGACTGGGAAAGCAGCAGAGGATGGGCCAAGGCTTTAGGCCCCTACCAAATGGGAGGCTTTGGATGAGCTCACTTCTAGCCACGGCCAACTGAAAAGTGACTCAATGATGAAGATCTCTTTTCCTCTTTCTTTATAATTAGACTTTCCAAGTAAACAAATCTTTAGAAAGCAAATCATTCCTCAAGCCAAATAAAAATAAGGTTATTATTGGCCAAGCCTTGCATCATAGCAGCATCATAAAATATTTTCCAAAAACTAATGGCAAAAATCAGGAAGAAATGTTAAGTTCTAAAATTTCAAAACAAAGGTATTACTACTATTTACCTTTAGGTCACAGCTCAGTCAACACACTGCTAGCTGCTTCATATAAGTCTCTCAAAATTCAAAGTATGCTTTCCTCAATCTTTTTTGTTTGTTTGTTTTTACTGCAAAGTCAGACATATATAGAGGAGGAGGAGAGACAGGGAGGAAGAGCTTCCGATGATTCATTCCCCAAGTGACCACAACAGCTGGAGTTCAGCCAATCCTAAGTCATGAACCAGGAGCTTCCTCTGGGTCTCCCACACGGGTGCAGGGTCCCAAGGCGTTGGGCCGTCCTTGACTGCTTTCCCAGGCCACAAGCAGGGAGCTGGATGGGAAGCAGCGCCGCCGGGATTATAACTGGCACCCATATGGGATCCCGGTGCGTTCAAGGCGAGGACCTTAGCTGCTAGCCCACCACGATGGGCCCTCTTTCCCAAATTTTAACTCTGCTTTCTTACACATATACACTCCCTCCAAACGTATCTTATTTTCAAAATAAAAGTGTATTCTGCAACCTACCACGGATGCCTGAACATAGACTACAGTTTCAAAGTATATAAAGAGTGACACTTCATGTAAAAGACGAGATTCCATAAACAATGAAACTTTAATAACAAAAATCACTAGTTATGGTGATGTTCGACAAAGCTTACGAACTACTGTGAACAGTTCAAGATCTAGATCATTTACATAACAGCAATATGGTATTCCACTTAGATGTTGGTTAATTGATATAACTAAATATAATACAATGGAATAATCTATGATTTCTTTTGATGATTTGAATAACAGAATAAATGTGATCTTAAGAATCGACTAGGCTGGGATCGGATCCTGGCCCCGCTCAGACTGACCATCTACAACCTGAACTGCTCTATGCAGACAATGCTGCCTTGTGCAGCCCCTCAGACCCTACCATGTAATGAGGGAAGTCCTGCGCATGATCAGCCCTTGGAGCTAGGACTCACACTCAGTCTGTCCCTCTGTGAGACAGAGCACTGCAGGGAGAACAGGACTACGGTTCTACTCCCACCTTCTCTCATGTACCAGATGATCTAATTACTATACTTCTTTAAACCTGATTTTTATATTTATGTGGATCTGATATATACTTCATAAGATGATTTAAAAATTAGAGAGAAATATAGAAAGCGTAAAATACATTGGGGCCTGGAGCAGTAGCCTAATGGCTAAAGTTCTTATCTGGCACCTGGCCAACATCAAAAATGGCCAGTTCGTGTCCCAACTGCTCCACTTCGCATCCAGTTCCCTGCTTGTGGCCCAGGAAGGCAGTCGAGGATGGCCCAAAGCCTTGGGACCCAGTACCCATGTGAGAGACCTGGAAGCTTCGTATCAGCTCAGCTCTGGTTACTGTATACACTTGGGGAGTGAAGCGGTGGATAGAAGATTGTTCTTTCTGTCTTTTCTTCTCTGCCTTTCCAATTAAAATTTATTTAAAAAAATTATATATGTATATGCACTGTACTTGTGCCAGGGCCATGGCTCAAGTGGCCAATCTTCTCTGCCTTGCAGTGCTGGCACCCCCATATGAGCGCCAGTTTTATCCTGATTGCTCCACCAGCAGACAGAAGATTTTTCTGTCTTGTCTTCTCTTCCTAAATCTGATCTGCCCTTCCAGTAAAATGAAGAAATGTTTTCTTATAAAAAGATTCTTAAAAAAAAAAAAAATGTAATTGGGCCTGGCATGGTAGCCTAGTGGCTGAAGTCTTTGCCTGCACACACTGGGATCCCATGTGGGTGCCAGTTTGTGTCCTGGAGGCTCCACTTCCCATCCAGCTCCCTGCTTGTGGCCTAGGAAAGCAGTCGAGGACGGCCCAAAGCCTTGGGAGTCTGCACCCACATGGGAGACCCAGAAGAGGCTCCCGGCTCCTGGCTTTGGATCGGCACAGCTCTGGTCACTGCAGCCACTTGGGGAATGAATCAACGGACGGATGATCTTCCTCTCTGTCTCCTCCTCTTTGCATATCTGACTTTGCAATAAAAAAAAAAACTTAAAAAAATTATAATTATGATTATGAAATTCTCTATTTCTCTTCTCAGAATGCTCATTTTTCTATACCAACCTGATTTTATTATCAGTGATCAGCATTCCAAACCAGACCATGAAAGTTTATTCAGCCCCCTTAGCCACATATTTGTAGCTATCAATTGTCCTATTTTCTTCACAAATGCCAAAATATGTTGAGATAAACAAATTTGAAAGTAACCTAGAAACCTAGT